TGGGGTGGTGTGTGGTTGGGGTGGTGGGAGGTTTGGATTCTGAAATTTGAATTTCATACGTGGGTTGGGCGATGTGCTTGGTCGCGTAACCAGTCGCGAAGCCCTAATAACCGTCGCAAATTATTTTCAATTTCGATTAATTTTTTTCGCCGGGCTGCCTGCGCGTTTTTTCACGAATTCGAAGCCTATTAGCGTACCACGTACGTACGCAATCGTATATACGTGGTACGCCACCCTACCCAGAGCGTATTTGGCAACGTAGGGTGAAGGCACGCACCTGGGCGTCAGGGGTGAAGGCACGCACCTGGGCGTCAGGGGTGAAGGCACGCACCTGGGCGTCAGGGGTGAAGGCACGCACCTGGGCGTCAGGGGTGAAGGCACGCACCTGGGCGTCAGGGGTGAAGGCACGCACCTGGGCGTCAGGGGTGAAGGCACGCACCTGGGCGTCAGGGGTGAAGGCACGCACCTGGGCGTCAGGGGTGAAGGCACGCACCTGGGCGTCAGGGGTGAAGGCACGCACCTGGGCGTCAGGGGTGAAGGCACGCACCTGGGCGTCAGGGTGAAGGCAGCACCTGGGCGTCAGGGGTGAAGGCACGCACCTGGGCGTCAGGGGTGAAGGCACGCACCTGGGCGTCAGGGGTGAAGGCACGCACCTGGGCGTCAGGGGTGAAGGCACGCACCTGGGCGTCAGGGGTGAAGGCACGCACCTGGGCGTCAGGGGTGAAGGCACGCACCTGGGCGTCAGGGGTGAAGGCACGCACCTGGGCGTCAGGGGTGAAGGCACGCACCTGGGCGTCAGGGGTGAAGGCACGCACCTGGGCGTCAGGGGTGAAGGCACGCACCTGGGCGTCAGGGGTGAAGGCACCCACCTGGGCGTCAGGGGTGAAGGCACGCACCTGGGCGTCAGGGGTGAAGGCACGCACCTGGCCATCAGGCATGAAGGCGGCGGCAGTGACCATCTCGCCCACGTCCACCCAGTCCAGCACGCCGCCCTGCGCTGCCGCCCACACGCGCACCCTCTCATCCAGCGCCCCCGTCAGAAACACATTCGCCTGCCGCGGGTGGAACGCCACCGCCGTCACTGTGGGGCAGGGGGTGCAAATACGTGTCCTTGCACGAGCATGGAACTCAAAACAAGAGATACAAGAATGGGACAGTAACAGGCAGTTGCAATGCAAATTGCAAAAGCCCCCTATTCAGTTTGCACATGAAGCGGGCCCACGAATGCCAGCAGCTCGGCGCGATTTATGGGGGAACAGTGCACTTGCCTATGTCGGGGTGGGGGAAGACGCGCAGGCAGTGCGAGGAGCCGACATGCCACAAGCGCACCGTCCTGTCCGCTGATGCCGACACCAGCAGCGGGCGCTGCATTGGGAGGGGGGGGAGGAGACGGAGGGGCACACGTGCATGGGGACGGCGATGGGAGGTCTTGTATGCATGGATATGTGAAGAGTGTGTCAGGCAAGGAGGGAGAGAAAAGAGGATCACTGGGCAGGTGTTGAGGAGGGGCATGGGGAGGAGCATGGGAAAGGGCGTGGAGGAGGGGCGTGGGGAGGGGCGTGGGGAGGGGCGGCATGAGGGGCGGCATGAGAGGCGTGGGGAGGGGCGCACCCCGTTGGGCGCCCAGGCGAGGTCGAGCACGTCAGCAGAGTGGCCCGTGAAGCAGCACAGCGCCGCCTCCTGCAGCCGGAACAGCGCCACCGCCCGCCCCATGCTCGCCCCGCCACCCCCGCCTCCGCTGCCACTGCCACCCGCGCGGCCGCGTGGCGCTGCCTCTGGAGGTGCGTGGGAGGCGGCAGAGGAGGGGCGCAGCAGGGGGTGCATGGGGGAGGAGGGCACGGAGCGGAAGCCAGACGACAGCGACGCCGCGTGGGGGAGGGCAGGCGGGGCCATCTCCTCCGATGCGAATGCCGGCGTGCCATCGGACCGCTCCCGTGGGTACCCTCTCACCCGCACCTGCGTTTCCTCCCACCCCTTCACCGTCGCACCTCCTGTGCTCCCCCCCCCAACCTCCACCCCTCCACTGCCCCCTCCCCCACCCAGCCGCCCCCCACGCCGCTCCCACGTGCCCACCACCACCTCGTCCGCGGCGCCACTCCCCTCGCCCACCCCCCCTGGCGCCCCCTCCACCCGCCACACGCGCACGGCGCCGTCCTGCCCGCCCGTGGCGAGGTAGCGCCCGCAGCAGCTGAAGCGCGCCACCCACACAGCGCCATCGTGCGCGCCGCGCACCTCCTGGCGCAGCCACAGGTCGGACAGCTGGCGGGCGGGCTTCCTCACAGCCGACACCTTCACCCTCACCGGCCCCACCGCAGGAGCGCCCAACGCCCCACCCCCCCCGCCTGCTGCTGCCCCTGCTGCTGCTGTCTTCGCCATGCCTGGCCCCGAGCCTGCTAGTCCGGATGAGGTTAGGCCCGAGCCTCCCAGAGGTCCGGCAGGTGGCTGGTCTGAGCGCTCCCCTGCCTGCACTGATGGCTCCCCCGGCCTCTCTCCCTCCCCCGACCATCCGCCCCCATCCCCGTTGCCCTCCCCCCCCACCGCTCCCCCTCCAACCCCCACACCGCCCTCTTTGTCCTCACCCTGCCCCCCCTTACTCTTGCCGCCATCCTTGCCCTTCCCGCTGCCACTGCCACTACCACTGCCATACCCAGCAGCACGGCGGATGGCCTTGAGCCACCCGCGCCCACGGCTCGACTTGGGCCGGCCCTGCCCGCCGCCCTCCCCCCCATCCTCCACGCCGCCCCGCTCCTCCTTGCTGCCCTCTCCACCCTCCTCCCCGTCCATCCCCTCCTCGCTTCCCCCCACCCCTGCACTGGCCTTGCTCTTACCCGCCCTGCGCCCCCACCTGGACTTCTTCCCACTCTCCTCCGGTGACCCACTCTTGTCGCCACGCTGCCCCTCCCGCTCCCCCTCCCCGCCCCCTTTCCCCCCCACTTCCGCTTCTCTCTTCCCCCACGAAACCCCCTCCCTCTCTTCGTCTCCTTCCTCTTCCTCCTCGTCCTCCTCCTCCTCCTCTTCCTCATCCCCCTCCTCCTCCTCTCCCGCCTCCTCGATATCAGCGAACACCTCGCTGCGCGCCACATCGCCCTCATCATCATCATCTGTCAGCCCCAGGGTGTCCCGCCGAGCACTCACAAACCGCACCCCTTCACGGTACTCCGCGTCCGACCCCTCCTCACCACTCTCAACCGCACCCACCTCTCCGCCATCCCTCCCCTCCTTCTCCGCCTTCCCTTCCCTCTCACCGCCCTCCCTATCACTCCCCACGGTGCCTCTGTCCCGTGCACTGCTACTTGCTGCAGCACTCCCTTTCCCTTCCACTGCGCCCTCTGCTGGCCTCTCCTCGCCCTCGCCTGCACCCACCATGCCACCAGCTGCAGCGGCTGTGGGCGCCAGGGAGGTCTTCTTCTTGCGCCGCCGCTCCACCACCCTCTCCTCGCGCACCGCCTGCCGCACGGCCCTCAGAGCCAGCAGCGCTGCCACATTCTCCCCATCCGCCACGCCCTCAACCCCCGCACCTCCCACACTCCCCCCACCGGTGGACGCCCCCGCCTGCCCTCGCCCCCTCATTGCCTTCCCCCCAAAGCCCCACCGCACGCCCTCCGTGCCCATTGCCCCACCAGCGCCTTCCTCCCCCCCCCAGAGCAGCAGCGCTGGGTGCTCCACGAGGTATTCCTGGCCCGAGGCCGTGTCGCGCACGCGGATGGCACACGCCACCTCCAGCCGCCGCTCCTGCTCCTCCCCACCGCCCTCCCCCCCAACCTGAATGAACCCCACCACGCCCCACCCACCCTCTGCCCCCACCGCACCCGCGGCCCCTGACCCGGCAGCGCCCTCGCCCGCCCCCACGGCCACCTCAAGCCCATCCAGCCCGGCTTTCCTCCGCGCCACCGCCGCTCTCTGCGCCGCCGCTGCTGCTGCCAGCGCTGCTGCCTGCGCCTCCGCTGCTGCTGCCTCGCGCGCCCACTCGCGCTCCCGTGCCTCGCGCTGCTGCACCAGCCCCACGCCCCCCAGCAGCACGCCCCACGACCCCGCCCCCTCCCCCTCTCTGCCCCCGCCCCTCGATACACTCACATCCTCCGCCACGTCCGCCAGCCCCCCCACGCCCCTGCTGCGCGCGCCCTCATCGCCGCCCCCCGGGCTGCCCAGCCCTGCCGGCCCATCCGCCCCCACCGCTGTGGTGACGCGGCGCCGAAGGCGGGCAGAGCGAGGAGTGACGGAGGCCCTTACGTGGGGCGACACGGAGCGAGGCAGCTGCACCTGCATGCCCACCGCCACCCTCATGCCCCTCCCCGCCCCCCCTCCGCCTTGCACACCCCCCTGCGCGCCCCCCTGCTGCCACTGCTGAAACGTCGGCCTTCCGCCCCTCGCTGCTGCCTGCCCTTCCTCCACCCCGCTAGGAGCATCCTCATTATTGTGCGCTGAAAGCCCTTCAACAGCACTGCCACCAGCAGCGCCAGCAGCAGCAGCAGAGGGCGTGAGTTCAGGTGCCCCGTCCACTCCCTCTTGCCCCTCGCCCCGGCCCTCGTCTGTCTTCTCCGCCTCCGCCCTCCCCCCGTCCTCCGCCATCCACTCCGGCGCCACGCGCGCGCCTCCCCCCAACCCCACGAGGCGCGCGACGGTGCGCGCGAACTGCAGCAGCCCGGGCGGCACGCCACGCGCGCCTGCTGCTGTGAATGGCGCAGCCGCGCCGCCCGCAACGGCGCTAGTAGCGGGGTCGGGGGAGTGAGGGGACGGAGGCACGGCGCTGCTGGCCCCGTGTGCTGCTCCCGCGACTGCTGCTGCCCCGCCAGCACTCGCTTGTGCGTCCGCCTCTGCTCGCCGCTCCACCTCTTGCGCCTGCCGCACAACGACACGCAGAGATGCAAGGCACGACGCGGACAATGCTTGGGACGGACGGGTAGGAAGAGCGCGTGGCGAAAAGACAAGTCGCAACTATCTGACCTGCTCGGACCTTCCCCGATCCCCTGCCACCGCGCATGCACCCGCGCGTTAGTCACCTTCTCGCACGCCACGCGCAGCTGGTGCCACATGCGCGCGCGCCGCTCCGCCACGGTATTAATCTCGAGCGGCTCGGTCCAAGGGTTGGGGTGGGCGCCCTCGTCCGCCGCCACGAGCTCGAGCACGGGCAGCGCCAGCTGCGCCGCCGGGGGCAGCGCGGACACCGGGTGCGCGCCGTCGTCGTCGGGGTCGCGCGCGTACGCGGGCTGCGCGAGCTCGGTGAACACCGCGGGACCCATCGGCACGTTCTTTCTGAATACGAGTGGCTAATAATAATAGGGTAAAGCCGCGTGAAGCTAGTAAACGGTAGAATGTCAGGTGCGTATTTCACAAGAAAAAAGAGAACAATGGGAAATCGGAAATAATGACTTCCAGAAATGTGATGTAGGAACAGATCGTCCGAAATATAAACAACGCGATCCACAGCAGACGCGAAAGAGGTGAAGCTGACATATGAAAGGGGTGGGTCGTCGCCAGCGTAGTTTACGGGAGGGTCGTCACGACTCATGTCATGAACTGACCTGAACCGACGCTCACCTCGTTCGGTTTTTTCACGATCGATCCTGCGCATGATCTAATGTTTACGGAGTTGAAAAGGGTTCTTAGTATTTCCAGTGTAACAAGTGGGTTTGTACGGGTTCTATAATATCGATCGTGCAAAATCGGTAGAGGTAAGGACGTGGTGAAAGTGCAAATATTGCAGGATCGTCTGCATAAATCGAGCCCCACAATCGAGTGGGCAGATAGATTGGCGAAACGTGGCGGCCTCGACGTTGTAACGATCGCACCTGAAAATTGACAGATCTCCCGCGATCAGTGATCAGTCGCATTCACACACCGTACATAAATCTTGGCCAAAAAGCGTTTTGTTGTCAAACTCATTTACTGCTTATTGTGTAGATTATAGTGGGGTAGCCCATATGGGGTACAACCCAATTAGGGTTTCCTACTTGTACCCATCTTGGTGCTAGTTCATCCATTCCTGCTTGTTAGTTTCAGACATGGTATCAGAGCAGTAGGTCTGTAGGACCGGTTTTTCCGGGACCACCATTACCTAGTGACCGATTGCGGTTACTGCGTTACCCCACGCCCTGCCCTGCGCTGCGCCGTCAGCCTGAGGTCTGCCCTGCCCTTCCTTGCGTCGCGCTGCCCCGCGCACGCCCTGTCCCTCCCTGCGTCGCGCTGCCCCGTGCACGCCCTGCCCTGCCCAGCGTCACGCTGCCCCGCGCACGCTCTGCCCTGCCCCACGTCGCGCTGCCCCGCGCACTCCCTGCCCTGCCCCGCGCCCTGCTACCCTGCGCGTCGTGCCCTGCTGCAGCCCGCGCGTCGCGCTCTGCTGCCCCGCGCGTCGCGCTCTGCTGCCCTGCGCGTCGTGCCCTGCTGCAGCCTGCGCAGCGCGCTCTGCTGTCCCGCGCGTCGCACACTGCTGCAGCCTGCGCGTCACGCCCTGCTGCCCCGTGCGTCGCACCCTGCTGCAGCCCGCGCGTCGCGCCCTGCAGCTCCGCGCGTTGCGCCCTACTGCAGCCTGCACATCGCGCCCTGCTGCAGCCTACGCGTCGCGCCCTGCTGCCCCTCGCGTCAGGCACTGCTGCAGCCCGTGCGCCAGCGCCCTGCCCTGCGCCAGCGCCCTGCCCTGCGCCAGCGCCCCGCCCTGCGCCCGCGCCCTGCCCTGCGCCAGCGCCCTGCCCTGCACGCGCTGGCGCCCTACCCTGTGCCAGCGCCCTCCTGTGCGCCAGCGCCCTGCCTTGCGCCAGCGCCCTGCCCTGCGCCAGCGCCCTGCCGTGCGCGAGCTGGCGCCCTGCCCTGCGCCAGCGCCTTGCTAAACCCTAAATAAAATTATATATATAAAAAGGCCCTAGGTGCTTCTGCCCTAGGAGCTACTGCCTGCTACTACCCTTCTCTAATTGCAAGCCGCCCTGCTATGGCCGCGCGCCGCCCTGCTCTGGCCGCGCGCCGCCCTGCTCTGGCCACGCGCCGCCCTGCTCTGGCTGCGCGCTGCCCTGCTCTGACCGCGCGCCGCCCTGCCCTGACCGTGCACCGCCCCGACCTACCCTAGTGCCTCCTCGCTGCCCTTCCTGCCCTGCGTGCTGCCCTGCTGGTTGCATGACTTCCCTTGACGGCAGCAGTGGGAGTGGTGGCGGCTGTGGGGGCAGCAGAGGGAGTGGTGGCGGGCTCAGTAGCAGTCACTTTGGAGCTGTTCGTTGGGGAGTTTCTGGCGGTGGCCAGATGCAGCTCCAACGACGTTCATGAGTGGTACGCCCGTAGGTGTCGTGGCGGCGGCCGTAGTGGCAGTCACGGTGCAGCTAGTCAGTTGGGAGTTTCTGGTGGTGGCCTGGTGCAGCTGCAGCCGCGTCCGCGCGAGACCCTTATGGTCCAGCAGCTTCGTGAGTGGTACGCTCAGTGTGGGGGGTCTTTGAGTAGTGCTCGCTACCAGTACGTCCTTCGCAATGGTGATCGGGCTGGTCAGACATGCGGGACACCTGGCCACACACACTCCCGCTGCTTTTCCTATTTGAGCGACACCTGGCATGCACAGTTTGGCGACGCGGCTAAGCTCCCCCGCTGGCTAGAGCTGCTTAGGCAGGGCGTCGATGTCTTTGCGCTAGACTATGATGCCATCCTTACTGCCATGTATACATTGAATGTTAGTGGTGAGGGTGACTGTTACTTGTGTGTGCCGCCCGACCCAGGTATAGAGGCTGCTGCTCTATGTGCTAGTGAGTCTGCTCTCTTTGGAACTGTGCCTGTTGAGGCCTTGCACACTTTCATGCTTGACTCAGGTGCTTCCCGCTGTTTCTTTCGCGATAGTACCACAGTCACACCACTCCCTGCACCTGTTGCTGTCAGACTGGCTGACCCCTCAGGGGGCCCAGTTCTTGCCCGTTCCTCCAGTGTTCTCCCGTGTTCGGCGGTTCCGTCCGGCTCACTCTCAGGTCTTCACCTCCCCTCGTTCTCTACGAACCTGGTGAGTACCACTGCCCTCCAGGATGCGATGGTTGATACCTTTACTCCTGGAGGTCAGCGCGTGTCGATCTGCACGTGTGCACGGACGGGCCGTCACCTGGCCACATTCACCCGTCGACCTGGGTCGAGTCTGTACACACTGACTACTGAGACTCCCCAGGTAGCTGCGTCCGCGTCCGCGTCAGGTCAGCTTGCGGCCCCCTGCTCATGTCGCGCCCTGTCGCACCAGACTCTCCTTTGGCACCACCGCCTTGGTCACCCCTCCCTGCTATGCCTCCGTGGCATGCACTCCCGTCTCCTTGTCTCTGGTCTTCCCAGGTCTCTGCCTTCCCTCCCACGCTCGTCTGCCCCGCTCTATCTTCCTTGCGTCAAGGGGCAGCAGTGCGCCGCTCCTGACTCCTCGTTTCCCCGGATAGAGGCTCCCTTGCAGACTCTTCACATGGACGTGTGGGGCCCAGCCCGCGTCTGTGAGCAGGGCCGCGAGCGATACTTTCTGCTGGTTGTTGACGACTACTCGCATTACACCACGGTCTTCCCCTTGCGCAGCAAGGGGAAGGTCCCTGATGTCTTGATCCCTTGGATCCGCGCTGTCCTTCTCCAGCTTCGCGAGCGGTTCCACTCGGACTTTCCTATCCTGCGTCTGCACTCTGACAGAGGTGGTGAGTTTGCCTCCGACCTCTTGCGGGACTTTTATCGTGGGGAGGGCATCCGCAAGACGTTCACACTTCCAGCCTCTCCGCAACAGAATGGGGTTGCTGAGCGCCGCATTGGCTTAGTCATGAAGGTCGCTCGTACCTCCATAATCCATGCGGTTGCCCCCCATTTTCGGTGGCCGTTTGCACTCTTGTACGCTGCGCATCAGCTCAACCTCTGGTCCCGTGTCTCCTTGCTAGAGACCTCGCCCACACTGCATTGGACGGGGGAGGTTGGCGATGCGTCGGTGTTCCGGGTCCGGGGATGTCGTGCCTTTGTCCACGATGCTTCCACGGACAAGCTCTCCTCCCGCGCTATTCCTGTGTCTTCCTTGGCTTTCCCCCTGATGCGCCTGGCTGGCAGCTTTACCACCCCACCACGCGCCGTGTCTTCCCCTCTCAGGATGTCACGTTTGACGAGTCGGTCCCCTTTTACCGTCTCTTCCCTTACCGTAATGCCCCTCTTCCCCCCCCCCCCCCCCCCCCCCCCCCCCCCCCCCCCGCCACTCTTCCTCGCTCCAGGTCCCCCTCCGGTAGACCCCCTCCCCCCTCCGGGTCCTACTCCCTCAGGTGTGTCTTAGGTAGACCCACTCCCCTTGGTTAAGCCTGTCGAGGTCACTGGTGACTCAGGTGCTGCTGGGGGTGCTAAACATGCGGGTGCGGAGCCTGGGGGTGCTGAGCGTGAGCGTGCGGAGCTGGGGGGTGCCGAGCCTGAGCGTGCCGAGCCTGGGGGTGCTGAGCATGCGGGTGCTGAGCCTGAGCGTGTGGAGCCTGGGGGTGCTGAGCCTGAGCGTGCAGAGCCTGGGGAGCTGAGCTTGCGGGTGCGGAGCATGGTGTTGCTGAGTCTGGGGGTGCTGCGCCTAGGGTTACTGCGCCTAGGGTTACTGCTTCTCCACTACCGGAGCCTCTCTCACCGCAGCAGCCGCGCGAGTGGTACGCTCAGCAGCTTCGCCTTTGGAGTGTCGCTGCTGGAGAGGGAGGCCTTGGAGCTGCTGGTACTGGAGGAACTGGAGCTGCCGGAGCTGCCGCAGCTGGTGGTGCTGTTGGTGCTAGTGGTGCTGCCACTACTAGTCCTGGAGGTGCCCGTACTGGGGGTTCTAGAGGTACTCTCTCGCCGCAGCAGCTACGCGAGTGGTACGCTCAGCGCTGCCGCCTTCGGAGTGGCGCTGCTGGAGCTAGAGGCACTGCGGTTGGAGCCGCTGGAGCTGGAGGTACCGGAGGAGCTGGCACTGCTGGTCCTGGAGGTGCTCGTACTGGAGGTACTGGAGCTGCCGGGGCTGGTGGTGCTGCTGGTGCTGGAGGTACTGGTGGTGCTCGCACTGCCAGTCCCGAAGGTGCTCGTACTAGGGGTGCTGGAGCTACTAGTCCTTGAGACCCTGGAGCTGGAGGCACTGGGGCTGGCGGCCTTGGAGCTAGAGCTGCTGATCCTGGAGGTGCTAGTACCGGAGGTACTGGAGCTGCTGGAGTTGGTGGTGCTGCTGGTGCTGGAGCTGCTTGTCCCGGAGGTGCTCGTACTGGAGGTACTGGAGCTGCTGGAGTTGGTGGTGCTTCTAGTGCTGGAGGTACTGGAGCAGCTGGTGCCGTGGGCTCTGGAGCTGGAGCCACTAGAGGTGGGGGCGCTGGGGCTGTAGGCGCTGGAGCTAAAGGTTCTTGAGCTGCTGGAGGCGCTGGGGCTGCTAGTACTCGTACTCGAGGTGTTGGAGCTGGGGGTTTGTGGTGTCAGATTTATATGCCTTAGTTGTTGTAGGCTATAGTGGGGTAGTACATATGGGGTACACATTTTCTAGGGTTTGTACTTGTACCCAACCTCCCTTAGTCAATTTCATTCTCGTTCATTTTCTCATGGTATCGAGCAGGTTCCCCTGTGGGAACTGTTCCTAGGGCCCACCACCTTTTTTTTTTCCTGCCCGGAGCGCGCTCTACATTGCCCGAGTCGCGCTCCCCTCTCACGGCCCCGTCGCGCCGCCCTCTCGACCCTTTCGCGCCGCCTTAGCGGCCCCGTCGCGTTGCCCTTGCGGCCCCTTCACGTCGCGCCGCCCTAGCGGCCGCGTCGCGCCGCCCTCGCGGCCCCTGATCCGTCGCCCTCGCGGCTCCATCGCGTCACGCCACCCTCGCGACCCTTTCGCGCAGCCCTCGCGGCCCTTTCGTGCCGCCCTCGCGGCCTCTTCAAGCCGCCCTCGCGACCCCCCCCTCCTAGCCGCCCTAGCGGCCCCGTTGCCTACCCCTGCGGCCCTGGCGCCGCCCTTCCCTGCTTCGGCGCCGCCTCTGCTGGCCCCGTTGCCTACCACTGCGGCCCCGGAGCTGCCCTCCCCGGCCCCGTCACGCCGCCTTAGCGGCCCCGGTTGCGACGGGCCGCCCTCGCGGCCCCTTCGAGCCGCCCTTGCGGCCTCTTCGAGCCGCTCTTGCGGCCCCCCCCCCTTCACGCCGCCCTCGCGGCCCCTTCGAGCCGCCCTTGCGGCCCCTTCACGCCGCCCTCGCGGCCCCGTCGCCGCTCGTACCGGCCCCGGCGCCGCCCTTGCTGGCCCCGTCGCCATACCCTCGCGACCCCGCGGCCCCACCCTTGCGGCCCCGACGCCGCGGTTGCGGCCTCGACGCAGCCGCCCTCGCGGCCCCGTCGCCCCACCCTCGCGGCCCCAGCGCCGCCCTTCCCGGCCCCGGCCCCGCCCTTGCTGGCCCCGTCGCCCTACCCTCGCGACCCCGCGGCCCCACCCTTGCGGCCCCGACGCCGCCGTCGTGGCCTCGACGCAGCCGCCCGCGACCCCACTGCCGCCCTTGCGGCCCCGTCGCCCCACCCTCGCGGCCCCAGCGCCGCCCTTCCCGGCCCCGGCCCCGCCCTTCCTGGTCGCCGCCCTCTTAGCAGCAGCGACCGCCGTCCCAACTGCAGCAGCTGTCGGGCCGCCCTGCAGCCGAGCCGCCGAGCCGCCCAGCAGCCGAGCCGCCGAGCAGCCCTGCAGCCGACCCGCCGAGCCGCCCTGTTGCCGAGCCGCCCTCCAGCCGAGCTGCCCAGCCGCCGAGCAGCCGAGCCGCCGAGCCGCCGAGCAGCCGAGCCGCCGAGCCGCCGAGCCGCCCAGCCGCCCAGCCGCCGAGCAGCCAAGCCGCCGAGCCGCCGCAGTCGCTGCCTCGGCCTGTCCGTCCTGCCTGCTGCGGTGCCCTCGCCCTGCGGTAGTGGCGGCCTCACCTCTACCGCTGTCTTACTCCTACCACGGGTGAGCACTGCTGTTCCAGCTGTTACTGCTACTACTGCTCTCTCTACTACTCCTACTTCTCCTGGCCTGGCCAGATGCAGCTCCAGCGCCGTCCGCGTCAGTCCCTCACCCCCGATCAGCTTCGTGAGTGGTACTCCGTTTGGGGTTGTCGGGGTGGCCATAGTGGGAGTTGTTCTGGCGTGGGTAGTTTGGGAGCTGCTTGTAGTGGCCAGGTGCAGCTGCAGCGTCGCCCGCGCGCGGTCCTTTCGCCCCAGCAGCCTCGTTAGTGGTACACTACCTGGGGTGGTCGGGGTGACTGCAGTGGGAGTCGTCCTGGAGTGAGTGGTTCGGGAGCCGCTTCGCGTGCCCAGGTGCAGGTGTCGTGTCGTCCGCGCGCGGTCCTTTCGCCCCAGCAGCTTCGTGAGTGGTACGCTCAGCTTGGAGGGTCACGTAGTACTGCTCGCTGTCTGTACTTCATTCGCACTGGTGCTCGGAATGGCCAGCCCTGCGGGACGCCTGGTCACACAGAGTCCCGCTGCTTCGCCCAGCTGAGCGACGCCTGGCGTACGGAGTTTGGAGACGAGGCTGAGCTCCTCGGCAGGGTGCAGCTGCTTGGGCAGAGGGTAGATATCTATGGTCTTGACTATGATGCCATTGTCACTGCCATGTATGCATTGCCTACTAGTGATGGGGGTTCCTGTTTAACCGTGTGTTCCGCCTGACCCGTGTATTGAGGCTGCTGCTCTAGGTGCTGGTGAGACTGCTGCTCTAGGTGCCCGTGCGTCTTCTGCCCTAGGTCCTAGTGAGGCTGTTGCTCTAGGTACTGGTGAGGCTGCTGCCCTAGGTCTTGGTGAGGCTGCTACTCTAGATGCCAGTGCGTCTGCTGCCCCAGGTGCTGGTGAGTCTGCGCTCTCAGGTACCGCTTTGGCTCCGGCCACACACACCTTCACCCTTGACTCGGGTGCTTCCCGCTCCTTCTTTCGAGACCGCACCACCCTCACGCCGCTTGGTTGGCCAGTGGCAGTCTCCCTGGCAGACCCCTCTGGGGGTCCTGTCCTTGCCCACTTCTCTACTGTCCTACCGTGTCCGGCGGCCCCTTCTGGCACCCTGTCAGGTCTGTACCTCCCCTCGTTCTCTACGAACTTGGTGAGTGGTGCAGACCTCCAGGATGGAGGGGTTCACTAGTTCACTCCTGCGAGTCAGCGAGTGACCCACTGTACGTGTGCTCGGAAGGGTGTGTCACTTGGCCACGTTTACCCGTAAGCCGGGGTCGTGCCTGTACACACTTACTACTGAGTCTCCTCCGGTTGCTGAGTCTGCTCAAGTTGCCGCGTCGAGTCAGGTGCTTGCTGCGGCGTCCAGGTCTGGTCCTGAGTCTGCCCCCTGCTCGTGTCGTCTCTTGTCTCACCAGACTCTCCTCTGGCACCACCGCCTTGGTCACCCCTCCCTGCCTCGTCTTCGAGGCATGGCGTCCCGTGTCCTTGTCTCTGGTCTTCCCCGGTCCTTCCCTCCCCTTCCTCCGGGGCCTGGCCCAACCTGCGTCCCCTGTGTCGAGGGGCGGCAGCGGGCTGCCCCTCACTCCTCCCAGTTTCCTCCGACAGAGGCCCCGCTGTAGACGCTTCACATGGACGTGTGGGGCCCAGCCCGCGTCCGTGGACAGGGCCACGAGCGTTACTTCCTGCTGGTGGTTCACGACTACTCGCGTTACACCACAATCTTCCCCTTGCGCAGCAAGGGTGAGGTCACTGAGGTGTTGATCGACTGGATCCGCGCAGCTCGTCTCCAGCTCAGGAAGAGCTTCGGCTCGGACTTTCCTGTTCTGCGTCTGCACTCCGACAGAGGCGGAGAGTTCTCCTCTGACCTTCTGCGGGCCTTCTGTCGTGCACGAGGCATCCGCCAGACTTTCACGCTTCCGGACTCCCCGCAGAAAAATGGGATTGCTGAGCGCCGCATTGGCATGGTCATGGACGTCGCTCGTACGTCCATGGTCCATGCGGCTGCCCCCCATTTTCTGTGGCCGTTTGCGGTTTGGTACGCTGCGCATCAGATCAACCTTCAGCCCCATGTCTCCTTGCCGGAGACCTCCCCTACTTTGCTGTGGACGGGGAAGGTTGGTGATGCGTCTGCATTTCGTGTCTGGGGATCTAGGGCGATTGTCCGCGACTCGTCTGCGGACAAGCTGTCCCCTCGTGCTGTTCCCTGCGTCTTCCTTGGCTTCCCCCCTGACGCGCCAGGCTGGCAGTTCTACCACCCCACCTCGCGCCGTGTTCTGTCCTCCCAGGACGTCACGTTTGACGAGTCGGTTCCTTACTACCGTCTCTTCCCCTACCGCACTGTGTCCCTCCCCCTGCCGCCGCTCTTCCTCGTGCCAGGTCCCCCTCCGGTAGACCCCCTCCCCCCTTAGGGTCCTGCCCCCTCAGGTGTGTCCCAGGTAGACGCAGTTGAGCCTGTCGAGGTAGCTGTTGACTCTGGTACTGCTAGGGGTACTAAGCCTGCGGGTGCGGGGCCTGGGGGTGCTGCGACTGCGGATGCGGGGCCTGGGGGTGCTGAGACTGCGAGTGCGGGACCTGGGGGTACTGAGCCTAGGAGTGCTGACTCTAGGGGTGCTGAGCCTGGAGGTGCTGAGTCTGGGGGTGCTGAGCCTGGGGGTGCTACGTCAAAAGGTGCGGCGTCTGAGGTAGCTGGGACTACTCGTGTGGCGTCTGGTGCTGCTGTGTCTGGAGGCTCTTCGGGTCCTTCGTCCCGGCGGGAGCCCCTCTCCCCTCTGGAGCTACGTGAGTGGTTTGCCCGGCGCTGGAGGCGTGCTACGGGAGCTCGAGGTTCTGCTGCTGCTGAGGGTGCTTCTGGTGCTGGAGCTGGTGGTGCTGCTGGACTTGGTGCTACTGGGGGTGCTGGTGCTTGACCTGCTTTGTCTTCTGGTGGTCCGGCTGGTCCTGGAGCTACTGGGGGTGCTGGAGCTGAGAGTACTGCTGGTGCGGGTGCTTCTGAGGGTAGTGGAGTTGGAGCTGCTGGAGCTGGGGGTGCTGTTGGTGCTAGTGCTGTCGTTCGTGGTGCTGGTGCTGTTCTTGCTGGTTCTAGTGGCGCTGCGCGGCCGCGGCCGTACTTCGTTCTCCTCCTTGAGGAGGTTCTTGGTCTTCCGCCCGCTGCTAGTCCTGCTCCTTCCCTAGAGGGTCCACCGCCTGTCCAGTCTGAGTCACAGCTACAGCCTGCCTCCCCTTTGCCTTCCCCTTCTCCATACACCCGTCCTACTGGAGGTCTTGCTCAGCGTCGTGAGCCTGTGTCTCGCCCTGCGTTGCCGGTCCGTGCTGCTCGCACTAGTGGTCGTGGTTCGCGTCAGCGTCCTTCTCCTGTCCCCGGCACGCAGAAGATGTCTCTGCGTCCATCCACTGCTCCGCTGCGTGCCCCTTTGCCTTCTCCTCCTGAGTCCTCACTCCCTATTCTTGCTGACCCGGAGTCGGACCCGGTGGAGGTGTCGGTGGCGGCAGTGGAGGCGGAGGCGGCGGCTGCGGTGGCGGTGGTAGCGGAGGTGGCGGAGGTGGCGGCGGTGGAGGAGGCGGCGGCGGAGGAGGTGGAGCTGGTCGGGGTGAAGCTCCGCAGAGGGTCAGCTCCGGTGGTGGTCAGCGCCAGCAACAGCAGCAGCAGCAGCGCAATCGTGAGATCCCCCCCCCTGAACACCTTCGTGAGTGGTACGCTGCACGCCAGCGGGGTGGGGGTACTGGTCCGTGCACCTACGTCCTACGCACCAGCGACCGCGCGGGTGAGCCGTGCGGGGGTGCGCACTCCACCCAGCGCTGCTTTGGCCGCCTGACGGACGCTTGGCGTCACCAGTTCCCTGAGGCCACTAAGATCCCTCGCTGGGGCGAGCTGTCTAGTGCGGGAGTAGCTGTCTTTGACCTTGACTTTGATGCTATTCTTGCTGCCATCTATGCTGTGAATGTTAGTGATGAGGGTGACTATTACCGGTGTTTTCCGCTTGACCCGGGCATTGAGACTGCTGCTCTAGGTGCTGGTGAGGCTACTGCTCTAGGTGCTAGCGAGGCGGCTGCTCTAGGTGCTGGTGAGTCTGCACTCTCAGGTACTGCGTCGGCTTCGGCCACCCACTTCTTCACACTTGACTCGGGGGCTTCTCGCTCCTTCTTTCGAGACCGCACCACACTCACGCCGCTTGGTCGGCCAGTTGCTGTCTCTCTGGCAGACCCCTCTAGGGGTCCTGTCCTTGCTCACTTCTCCACTGTCCTCCCGTGTCCGGTGGCCCCCTCTGGCACCCTGTCTGGTCTTTACCTCCCCTCGTTCTCTACGAACTTGGTGAGTGGTGCTGACCTACAGGATGCGGGGGTTCACCAGTTCACTCCTGCGAGCAAGCGAGTGACCCACTGCACGGACGCTCGGACGGGCCGACACTTGGCCACGCTTACACGTTGGCCGGGGTCGAGCCTGTACACACTGACCACTGAGTCTCCTCCAGTCATTGCGTCTGGTCAGGCAGCTGCGTCGGGTCAGGTGTTTGCTGCAGTGTCCAGGTCTGGTCCTGAGTCTGCCCCCTGCTCGTGTCTCCTCCTGTCTCAAGAGACTCTCCTCTGGCACCACCGCCTTGGTCACCCCTCCCTGCTTCGTCTTCGAGGCATGGCTTCCCGTGTCCTTGTCTCTGGTCTTCCCCGGTCCCTCCCTCCCCTTCCTCCGGGGCCTGCCCCTACCTGCGTCCCCTGTGTCGAGGGGCGGCAGCGTGCTGCCCCTCACTCCTCCCATTTTCCTCCGACAGAGGCCCCGCTGCAGACGCTTCACATGGACGTGTGGGGCCCGGCCCGCGTCCGTGGACAGGGTCACGAGCGCTACTTCTTGCTGGTGGTTGACGACTACTCGCGTTACACCACAGTCTTCCCCTTGCGCAGCAAGGGTGATGTCACTGAGGTGTTGATCGACTGGATCCGCGCAGCTCGTCTCCAGCTCAGGAAGAGTTTCGGCTCGGACTTTCCTGTTCTGCGTCTGCACTCGGACAGAGGCGGAGAGTTTTCCTCTGGCCTTCTGTGAGCCTACTGTCGTGCACGAGGAATCCGCCTGACCTTCATGCTTCCGGACACTCCACAGCAAAATGGGATTGCTGAGCGCCGCATTGGCATGGTTATAGACGTCGCCCGTGCGTCCATGATGCATGCGGCTGCCCCCCATTTTCTGTGGCCGTTTGCGGTTCGGTACGCGGCGCATCAGATCAACCTTCAGCCCAGGGTCTCCATGCCGGAGACCTCCCTAGTTTTGCTGTGGACGAGGAAGGTTGGTGATGCGTCTGCGTTCCGTGTCTGGGGATCTCGGGCGTTTGTCCGCGACTTGTCTGCGGACAAGCTGTCCCCTCGTGCTGCTCCCTGCATCTTCCTTGGCTTCCCCCCTGACGTGCCAGGGTGGCAGTTCTACCACCCCACCTCTCGCCGTTTTCTGTCCTCCCAGGACGTCACGTTTGACGAGTCGGTCCCCTACTACCGTCTCTTCCCCTACCGCACTCCGTCCCTCCCCCCGCCGCCGCTCTTCCTTGTGCATGGTCCCCCCCCGGTAGACCCCCTTCCCCCTCAGGGTCCTCCCCCTTCAGGTGTGTCCCAGGTAGACGCAGTCGAGCCTGTGGAGGTTGCTGGTGACTCTGGTGCTGCTGGGGGTGCTGAGCCTGGGGGTGCTGACTCTGTGAGTGCTGAGCGTGTGGGTGCTACGCCTGGGGGTACTGAGCTTGGGGGTGCTGAGCCTGAGGGTGCTAGGACTGGGGGTGTTGAGCCTGGGGGTGCTCAGTCTGGGGGTACTGAGCCTGGGGGTGCTACGACTGGGGGTGCTGAGCCTGGGGGTGCTACGCCTGGAGGTGCTGAGCCTGGGGGTGCGGAGCCTGAGGGAGCTGGGCCTGCTCGTGTGGCGTCTGGCGGTGCTGGGCCTGGGGGTTCTCCGGGTGCTCCCTCTTGACGGGAGCCACTCTCTCCACAGGAGGTGCGTGAGTGGTTTGCCCGGCGCTGGAGGTGTGCTGCTGGAGCTGGAGGTTCTTCGGCTGCTGAGGGTGCTGGTGCCACGAGTCCCGGAGGTGCTCGTACTGGGAGTACTGGAGCTGCTGGGCCTGCGGGTACTACTTGAGCTGGAGCCACTGCGTCTTCTCGTGGTCGGACTGGAGCTGGAGCTGCTGAGGGTGTTGGCGCTGACGGTAGTGGAGGCGGTCCTGCTGGGGGTGCTACTCGTGCAGCTCGAGGTCCTGGAGCTACTGGAGCTGCTGGGGGTAGTAGAGCTGGAGGTGCTGCTGGCGCTGGTGCTACCGCTGGGGGTGTTGGTGCTGTCCTTGCTGTGTCTGGAGTTGCTGCGCGGCCTCGGCTGTACTTCGTTCCGCTCCTTGAGCAGGTTCTTGGTCTCCCGCCTACTACTGGTCCTCCTCCTCCCTTAGAGTGTCCACAGCCTGTCCCGTCACAGTAACAGTTACAGCCGGCCTCCCCACTGCCTTCTCCTTCTCCCTACACTAGTCCTACTGGAAGTCTTGCTGAGCGTCGTGAGCCTGCGTCTCGTCCTGTCCGTGTTGCCTGTCCGTGCTGCTCGCGCTAGTGGTCGTGGTTCGCATCCGCGTCCTCCCCCTGTGCCTGGCACGCACTGGATGTCTCTCCGTCCGTCCACTGCTCCTCTGCGTGCCCCTTTGCCTTCTCCTCCTGAGTCCTCTCTTCCTGCTCTTGCTGACCCAGAGTCGGACTCCCTTCGTGCTGCCAGTCCGACTGTCACGCGTTTCCTTGCTACTGTTGTCACTGACCCTTCCTTTGAGTCCACTGCTTAGTCTGACCTAGTTGCTGGGCTCGTTGACTTTGCTGCTCGCTGTCGCCTAGACTACGCCGCCAGTCTTGTTGCTGAGTCTGAGTATGTCTGTCCTCCGTCCGTCGGGGGTGAGTGTGCCCTTGGCACGGACGTCCTTGAGGACAGGCAGGAGGAGTTCCAATGCTTGGCCACTGCTTCACCTCATCTCGTGTCCGTACTGCTTACCCCTGAGGGAGACCCGGATGCACTTGACATCCCGACTCCGCGCTCTTACGCGGAGGCGATAGAGGGTCCCTACTCCTCTCAGTGGCAGGCAGCTATGGACGCAGAGATGGCTTCCTGGAAGTCCACAGGCACCTACGTTGACGAGGTTCCCCCGCCTGGGGCGAACATCGTCAGTGGCATGTGGATTTTCAGGGTGAAGCGGCCGCCGGGTTCTCCGCCTGTCTTCAAGGCGCGTTACGTGGCTCGTGGCTTCAGTCAGCGGCAGGGAGTTGACTACTTTCAGACCTTCTCTCCCACCCCGAAGATGACCACTCTTCGGGTACTGCTGCACATAGCTGCTCACCGTGACTACAAGCTACACTCTCTTGACTTCAGCACTGCTTTCTTGCAGGGCAGCCTGCACGAGGAGATCTGGCTGCGCCGCCCACTTTGCTTCACTGGGACTTTTCCTCGTGGCAGCCAGTGGAGCCTCCGGCGGCCAATATACGGTCTCCGCCAGGCACCACATGAGTGGCACGAAACACTGAGGACTACGCTTGCGGCTCTTGGGTTTTCTCCTTCTATTGCCGACCCGTCGCTGTTTCTGCGCACCGACAATTCTTTGCCGCCGTTCTACATCCTCGTGTACGTCGACGACTTGGTCTTTGCCACAGCTGACACTCCTAGACTCGCCCACGTGAAGTCCGAGCTGCAGAAGAGACACACGTGCACAGACCTGGGTGAACTGCACAGCTACCTTGGCTTGCAGATCACCCGGGACAGAGCACGCCGCACCATTACCCTGACTCAGTCACACATGGTGCAGCAGGTCCTTCAGTGCTTCGGCTTCACGTACTCCTCGCCTCAGGCCACTCCTCTGCCTACTCGCCACTCCCTCTCAGCTCTGCCTTCGGATGAGTCCGTAGAGTCGAGTGGCCCGTACCCAGAGCTTGTTGGCTGCCTCATGTACCTGATGACCTGCACACGACCTGACCTTGCATACCCTCTTAGCATTCTCGCACGCTATGTTGCTCCTGGGAGACACAGACCGGAGCACATGGCTGCAGCGAAGAGGGTGTTGCGCTACTTGTGCAGTATGTCGGGCATGGGGCTTGTGCTTGGAGGGCAGAGTCCAGTGGTCCTCACTAGGCACGCATACGTTTCTTGGGCTGACGACCAGGCTACGCAGCGGTCGTCACAGGGTTACACCTTCAGCCTTGGTTCCGGCTCTGTTTCGTGGTGGGCTACCCGCTCGTCTTCTGTTCTCGGCTCCAGTTGTGAGGCTGAGATCTACGCAGGGGCCTTGGCTGCTTAGGAGCTTCGCTGGCTCACCTACCTGCTGACTGACCTCGGAGAGCCGCCTCGTTCTCCTCCAGTGCTGTACGTAGACAACAAGGCCATGCTAGCCTTGTGTCGGGAGCAGAGACTGGAGCACAGAACGAAGCACATTGCTCTTCGCTACTTCCTTGCTCGTGAGCTACAGCAGCGTGGTCAGCTGCGTCTTGCGTACGTGGCCTCTCAGGCCAACACTGCTGATATCTTCACCAAGGCACTTGCGCCTTGTGATCATAAGCGCTTCTGTACTCAGCTGGGTCTTGTGCCTACCTTGCCTCACTTGCTCACCCCTTGACCTTGTTTGTACTGTTACATATATATATACACCTGCTCTTGCTTGTTTAGCCTTATATATATATGTAATCCTGCATGTGAACTGGCCTTGTGGCCTTGAACTTGTGCTCGGAATGTGTGGTGACGTTGTGATCCACCCTGAGCTTGCTTTGCTTTGTTTGACTGGTCTTGTGACCCCTTGTTCTCCCCCACTTTGCCTATGGGGGTGTGTCAGATTTATATGACTTAGCTGTTGTAGGCTATAGTGGGGTAGCACATGTAGGGTACAGCTTTCTAGGGTTTGTACTTGTACCCAACTTTCCCTTAGTCATTTCATTCTCGTTCAAAATCACAAGCCTTGCGTGCTTGTGATTGTAGAATCGGGAAGGGCGTTTATCCTTGTATTTTCCGAGTATAAAAACGCATTGTATTCAGTTTTAGTGATAAGTTTCGATTGAAAATTCGATCTTGTGACACTTGGTAATCAGAGCCGTTCTCACTCGACAACTCTCGGCTAAGCAGCGGTCGCGGAAAAAACCGCCTCGAAAAACCGCTGGGGGCGACCAATTCGACACCGATTTCTGGTAAGCACCGGTTTTGCGCTTTTCAAATAAACCCCCTCGCGTGGCTTCTGAACAGGATGGGTTCGCCGATGACCAACAACGTTACGGAGCAGCTCTTCACGCAAATCGCCAAGATGGAAGCGGAGATGCGAGCGACAACCAAACGGTTGCGATTGGAGAACGGGCAGCTGCGAAATGAACTGCAGCGCGATAGTGATATGCAGGGTTATAAATCAAGGTGAAAAAGCAAGATAGTGATTTCAACCTAGCAATGGTAAGCATGCAGGTGCAAGTATATATAGATCACAGTACAAGCAAATTCAAGAGGTGAGCAAGTGAGGCCAGGTAGGCACAAGACCTAACATAGTACAAAAACGCTAATGATCACAAGGCTGAAGTGCCTTGGTAAAGATATCAGCAGTGTTGGCCCGAGTGGCCACAAAAGCAAGACGAAGTTGACCAAGCTGCTGCAACTCTCAAGCAAGAAAGTCGCGCAGAGCTATGTGCTTCGTTCTGTGCTCTAGTCTGTGCTCCTGACACAAGGCAAGCATGGCCTTGTTGTCGACGTAAAGAACTAGAGGAGAACGAGGCGCCTCTTTCGGCTCGGTCAGCAGGTAGGTGAGCTAGCGTAACTCCTGTGCAGCCATGGCCTCAGCGTAGATCTCAGCCTCACAACTGGAGCTGAGAACAGAAGACGGCTGGGTAGACCGCCACGAAACAGAGCCGGAACCAAGGCTGAAGGTGTAACCCTGTGACGACCGCTGCGTAGCCAAGACGTCAACGCAAGAAGCGTCTGCGTGACCAGTAAGGACAACTCGAGCCCGTCCTCCAAGCACGAGCCCCATGCCCGACGTACTGCGCAATACCCTCTTAGCTGCATCCATGTGCTCTGGTCGGTGCCTTCCAGGAGCAACATAGCGTGCCAAGATGCTAAGAGGGTATGCAAGGTCAGGTCGAGTGCAGGTCATCAGGTACATGAGGCAGCCAACAAGCTCTGGGTACATGCCACTCGGCTCTACGGACTCATCCGAAGGCAGAGCTGAGAGCGAGTGGCGAGTAGACAGAGGAGTGGCCTCAGGCGAGGAGTACGTGAATTTGAAGCGCTAAAGGACCAGCTGCACCATGTGTGACTGAGTCGAGGTAATGGTGCGTCGTGCTCTAACCTGGGTGATTTGCAAGCCAAGATAGCTGCGCAGTTCACCCAGGTCTGTGCACGTGTGTCTCTTCTACAGCTCGGACTTCACGTGGGTCTGTCCAGCAGTGTCAGCAGTAGCAAAGACCAACTCGTCGACGTACACGAGGATGTAGAACGCCGGCAGAGTAGTGTTGGTGCGGAGAAACAGCGACGGGTCAGCAGTGGAAGGAGCAAACCCAAGAGGCGAAAGCGTAGTTCTCAGTGTCTCATGCCACTTACGGGGCGCCTGGCGGTGACCGTAGACTGGCCGCCAGAGGCTCCACTGGGTACCAGGAGGAAACGACCCAGTGAAGCCAGGTGGACGGCGCAGCCAGATCTCCTCGTGCAGGCTGCCCTGCAGGAAGGCTGTGCTAGAGTCAAGAGAGTGAAGCTCGTAGTCACGCTGAGCAGCGACGTGCAGCAGTACTCGCAGAGTGGTCATCTTCGGGGTCGGGGAGAAGGTCTTGAAGAAGTCAAC